GTAGGGAAAATAAAAGCACATACATGTACTAAAATAGATCTAAAATGTCTAAAAGCAAGCTAAAGTAGTGCAGGGAAAGCAAAAAAAAGCAAAGCAGACCTACTATGTACTGTAAAAGTTTCCCAAGATCATTCTGGACTGGAAAACTGGAAATTGAAAACAGCAACTGTCACTTCCATCTGCTACAGAATTTTTGCTGCTGAGCTACTCAAGGCAGATTTGTTCCAAGAGCATCTCTGAAGACAGGCACAGAAATTGGTGTTTCCACAGTGCTGTATTTTGGTACAACATGTCTCTTCCACAGCACACACCTCCAAATACAGCAACATTTCAGATTGTGCAGGGACACTCCAAGTTTCAGGCTGTACATAAGTACAAGGTATTTTACCTCCAAACCTAACACAAGAGCCAATATTCAGTGGAGATTCATCATGTTATGCCTCAACTTCCAAGCTTTAGGAAAAAATGTGTGAAAAGCTATAGTTAAATTTGGAAGGGAAGTTCCTTCTAGAAGGGAAGCTTATCAAGGGAAACTTGATTTTAACTTATCCCTTTGAAGTGAATAAGGGAAGATCTGGAAAATGACATCCTTTCTTTTCCCCCCACAACATTATATGTGCAAATCAGGCAGGAAATTAATTTATAATCTCTGCTAGAAGAGTTTACTTCCAGCTAACCTTTCCATCATTGTCAAAGGAATCAAAGAAAATTCCAACGCCGTTCCATTTGTCAGCTGCCCCAAAAACAGGACCTTCCAGGCCTTGCTCTTCTGTGAACCAGATTGCCTATAAGAGAGCATGAGGAGCAGTAAGTCAAGATTCACTTTTAAAGCATGTCTTTCTGCTTCAGTTAGAGCAAATAGCCAGTACCAGTCCATCGGCTCCAATGCGGCCTCGCCCCGTGACGCGGAAGGTCACCTCGACCTCCCAGTGCTCAAACGTTGACTTGCTTTTTGTCCACACTGACCCTTTCTGGCTTTTCAAGGATGTTGTGATACGAATCTGATCTGCGCTCGGTATGGCATCTAGAAAGGAAAGGAACCCACACTTCATACAGTGTTTGTACAACAGAGAAAGTACTGCAAGTGCTAAACTAGGCAATGAACACACGTTCTGAGCTCAGACTCAGCTTTCTGCTGTGTCCTACACGGCTCTTCTCAAATCACAGCCTTCTGCGTTGCCTTTTAAAAGGAGATGCTCCGACATGCTGTTTAACAGTTTAAAAGCACCACAGGCATACCCTTAGAGATTCATCCACTTGTACATTTATGTTTTTGATTGTTTGGTTTTATACAGCTTTTTAGCAGGGAAGTAAAGCTCATCTATAGGAAAGTTTCCATTATGCCACTTGTAACATAATGTCAAGTAAGAGTGCAAAATGTACATTTATGAATTTAGCAATATCAACCGAATCAAAGTCTGTCAAAAAACAGGAACGCAGCAGAACTTACTGCAGAGAAACCACAGAAGGTGCAACCTTATGTACTGCAAACGCCATCGCCCGTTACAAGGGAGGGACACCTCGGTAAGTCTAGTTGCCTTTCTGAGCACAATCGAATCCTTCACCCATACGGCAGAGGATGTGTAAATAGAGGCTGTATAAACGCCGTTCGATACAGTCACGCTTGCCAAGGCAGGACTGGCAGACGAGCTTTTACCGAGGCGATTCAGCGGGCTCTGTGCCCGCAGCGGCTGGGCCAGCAGTGACACATCA